AGCCCTGATTTTCCTTTGAGGAAATTTGGCTACAGCGCAGCAATTCAAATGTCTCATCAAGCTTCTTCATTTTAGATGTGTCTGGGCAGACACGCTTAGGTTAAAAATATATACAGATCCATATAATTGGCATTCCATCGTGGAATCTTAAGTTTCCAAACTTCCTTGCATCATTTGACATGATGCATAATTATTACCAGTGACAAGAAAGTAAACATTCAGATATCCAAAGTAAATTTTCTGCCCTAATTAGATTTTATTCAGTCTTTCACCTCTACAACATAAACCATCTTTTCATTTGCAAAATTTGTACATCTAAAAATGCATGGAAATGGTAAAGAGTGCTGTCTGCACAAGACAAGAAACGTCATTACATAAAATGTGTTTCAGATAGTATAGAAAAACAAAACTGTGATTTCAAATTCTCTACATTGTAAATTGTTCAAAAACTAACTTTTTTGAGGCTGGGTCTCATGTCAAGGACAACCTTGAACTCCCTATATAGTCAATGATGACCTAGAACTCCTGATTTTCCAGTCTTTGCCTCTCAAGCGCTGGGACTGTAGGTGTGTACCACCACACCCAGTTTCTGTTGTGTCTGAGATCAAACCCTGGGCTTCACACATACTAGGCTGGTCCTCTAACAATTGAGCCACACCCCCAGCCCTTAGAACCCAGAATTTATAAAGCTGACTCTGAAATGTTACTCTCTGGATTGCGCAGCCAGCACTTGGGAGGCGGAGGCCAGGGGATCACAAGTTCAAGGGCATTCTCTTCTATATAGTTACTTCAAGGCCAACCTGGGCTCTAAGAGACCACGTCTTCAGTAAAGACAAACAAGTAAAAGCTCAGGGTTCTAGAAGAGCTCCCAAGGGGCAAAATGGAAAAGGGAAAGGAGCACATTGGGGGGCAGGGTTGTTTTTGGTCTCAGCACTCTTTCGGATGGCTTCAGACTGTGGGTCACTTTTCTGGTTCACCTGGAAAGGAGGCACATTGCATTTCCAGCAGTCCCACAGCCATCTTCGCTGAGCATCTACCCATTTCATAAGTTTTGTTCTGGGTTAGCTAAGGGTGTCCCCTCCCAAATCCACATTGAAACTTAATCCTCATTGCGGCAGTGTCAGACGGGATTACTGGAGGGTGCCTGAGTCACAAGGACAGCACCTACAAGAACAGATCCTGCACCTTTCTAAAAGGACACCGTGGAAACTAAGGACAGCTCAGTCACTGAAGTATTTCTTAGAAACACAAGGACTTGAAGTTGGTCCCCAGAAGCCACATAAAAAAATCTGGGCATGGTAGTGAGTGCCAGGGAGATGGCAGCAGGAGGAGTCCTTGGCCATCCTGCCACCTTACGTGGGGAGATCTAGGTCAGTAAGAGACCCCGCCTCAAAGAAACACAGAGGTGCAGAGTTTAAGGGTTGGTAACATGAAGTTGTCACATGCATTCACGCCCATCTCCACATAAACACATTGCTACAAGTGCACGCACATATTAAATAAATTTCTATTTAGAAGCCAACCACTCTCCAGTATTTTCTCGCAGCAGCACAAGTGGGCACCAGCAGCCTCCCCAGCTACCTTCAAACACTGTGCTTGAACAACGGGAACATGAATAGGACAAGCTTTTATCCGAGATTCTCACAGTCTGTTCTGTTCAGTGAATGCTTTACCTCACCTCACCCCCATCTACCAAAGCTAACTCAGAGAGGGTCACAAAATCAAATGTGAAAACTAAAAGTTGGGCAGAAAACGCAGGAGAAAGCCTCAGTAGCCTTGGGTTAGCAACCAGTTTTTAGGCCATACCATTAAAAGCATGAACCATAAAAGAGAAAAACAAGGTAAGCAGACTCTGCTGACATTAACTTGTGGGCATCTCAGTGGGGAAGATTACCAGCCTAGCATATGCAAAGCTCTGTGTGTATCTCTCTGCTACATAATGAGTTTGGGGCCAGCCTGGGAAGCATGGGATGTTGTCTGAAGTACACACATGAAGGATTGCTCAATGCTAGGGTGGGAGTGGAGTTCGTAAGAATTTGGGGAGGGGGCAATGGCAATGTCATAAAATGAGGCAGTGCTAATGGTTGTACAACTTTATACATCTACTAAAACTCATTTAATTGTATACTGATCAGTGAAATTTTGTGATGTTTAAATTACACACCAATAAACTATTTTAAAAAAATACAAATCCAGGGTCTAGAAGATTTAATTCAGTTGGTAGCATGCTGGCCTCGCACGCATGAAGCCCTGGGTTCAATCTGTGCTACATAAACTGGGCGTGGTAGTATACACCTGTAATCCCGGAATTCAGAGGCAGGGGCAGAAGGCCAGTCTGAGGCTACTTCAAGGCCAGCCTAAGCCCCATGAGATCTTTCCTCCAAACAAATAAACAAAACTACAAGTCTGCCTAGGGAAGCATGACTGAAACACAACCCCCAACAGGAAGCAAGAGTCTCCTTGTCTGGCCATCAACCTTTTATTCACATTGCTGAAAATTACATGGGAAAGATACTGACCTTGTGTGGAGACGGGAGCCCAGGCTGTGCCTGGTCGGTCTTAAGCTTTCTGAACTAAATTCCCTGTGGTTACTGAAAACTAGAAATAAACTTACAAATTCTAATAATAGACAATACTGGCCTGGTCAGAACCAATAAAGAGGTGTGTGAGAAGCCATTCAAACGCCTAAACTGCCTGAATAATACAACACAAGCTGTATAATCATTTCGGCCTACAAACATTTCGTCTGGAGCACCCAGGGCTGACCCGGTAACCGAGGTAATAACCGTCTTCAAAGGCATGAAGGGGTTTACAGGAACACTTTTTGTCTAGTTCTCCATTTCCACTGAGATCCAAACAAAACAAAATGATTTAATGATCAGCAAGGTAAATTTAGAATAAACACAAACAGCACTGACAGTAATTGCCATCAGATACTGCAGGAACCTTACTATAACTTGGATAGTCTTGCAGTTTCTTTGGTGATCATTAAGGATAGACAAGGTAGGCAGGTGAATCTCTGTGAGTTCAAGGCCAGCCTGGGCTACAAGTTGAGTTTCAGAAGGACAGCCAGGGTTACACAGGGTGACTCAAAAAAAAAAAAAAAAGGAAAAAGAAAAGAAGGAAGGAAGGAAGGAAAGAATAGACAAGTGCTCTCTAACCTACATACATGCACCATGGTACATGGGTGCACATATGTGAACACACACAAATTGACATACATATAAATAAATAAATAAATACACAGTAATTTTTTAAATTAAAAAGAAAAGACAACAAAGCATTTTAAAGGATTTGTTTATTTTTATGTGTGTGTTGCATGAATGTGTGCCGTGTTTGCCTGGTATCTGAGGAGGCCAGCAGAGGGCACCAGATCCCCTGAAACTGGAGGCGCCACGGATAGCTGTGAGCTGCCATATGGGTGCTGAGAACCAAACCCAGGTCCTCTGAAAGAGCATCAAGTTCTCTTAACTGCTGAGCCATCTCTCCAACCCTGTGAGGTACGTTCTTAACCCCAGAATTTGGAAGCAGGAATATCAGGAGTTCAAGCACAACCTTGGCCTCATAGTGAGTTTGAGGTCAGCCCGGGACACATGAGAGCCTATCCTAAAGTAAACCTAGGGCTGGGATGTATCTCAGTTGATGAAATACTTTCCTACTGTACACAAAAGCCTAGTCTAGGTACCCAGCCATGAAATCGTGCACCTATAATCCCAGGATTTAAGAGGTAGAAACAGTAATATAAGGTGTTTAAGGTAATTCTTGGTTACATAGAGTTCAAGGCCAGCCTGAAATACATAAGATCCTGTTCTAGAAATATCTAAAAATAATAGACAAGATAGACAGCTCAGATCTGGTGCCAAGTGCCTGAAGTTCTGGCATTTGGGAGGCAGAGGTAGGAGGACTGCTGCAAGTTGTAAGTTCAAGGCCAGCCTGGGCTACATTGTGAGCGCATGTCACATAGGGGGGAAGGACTGGAGAGATGGTTCAGTTTGCAAAGTGAGTGCTGTGCAAACTGCTGAGCTGTCTGGATCCCCAGCACCCATGTAAGAGCCCAGTATGGTGGTATGTACCTGTAACCCCAGAGCTGGGGGCCAGAAACAGGCAAATTTCTGAGACTTGGTGGCTCACCAACCTAGCCAAAAAGGCAAGTTCCAGAGCCAGTAGGAGACCCCGTCTCAAAAAATAAGGTGGATAGATGGCATAGTGGTCTATTTGGGACAACCTAGACCCACACAAGAAGTGAGTGTCAGTGCGGGACTGTCTACACTGGTCTGGCCTGTGGGCAGGCCTGTGTGGGGATGGGTGTCTTAAGTTAATTGATGTGGGAAGAGCCAGTCCACTGTGGGTGGCTGTGAACTAGTGGAGAAATCAGGCTGGCTGGCAAGCAAGCTGTATTCATGAATTCATTTCTCTCTGCTTTTAACTGAATGTGATGTGACTGGCTGCTTGAAGTTCCTGCCTTAACTTCCCCACAATGATGGACTGTAACCTGGAAGTGTAAGCTAAAATAAACCCTTTGGGGGCTGGAGAGATGGCTCAGCAGATAAGAGTACTGGCTGTTCTTCCAGAAGACCTGGGTTCAATTCCCAGCACCCACATGACCACTCACAACTGTTTGTAACTCCATTTCCAGGGGATCCAATACCCTCATACAGACATACATGCAGGCAAAACAGCAATGCACACAAAATAAAAACACATAAATTAGTAAACCCTTTGTCTTCTAAGTTGCTTTTTGTTGGGTATTTTATCACAGCAACAGAAATAAAACTAGAACAGGTGGAAGGCAATAAAGGAAGCTACCTAAAGTCAACCTATGTTTGCACATGGGTGGATGAGTACTCCCACCCACACAAATGCACACACACACACACACACACACACACACACACACACACACGCACACTTCTTTGACAGTTGGGACTCAGACTTGGGCAACCTGACATGGACCAGGTCTGGGGAGAGGAACATGATCCATGGGCTTTCACATCCCTTACCTCAATATCCCGATTCAGTTGCTTCACAATGGCAGTTATATTCCTGATATGCTCCTCCAAGAACAGCCTGGCTAGGCGGTCGCCTCCCCCTTTATTCTGCATCTTCTGCAAACTGCTGACAATGTCGTCTTTGATGCGGAAGGCATGCTCCACCAGTGCTGCCGTGGTTTTCTCATGGCAGAGGATCCTGTCTTCCAGCTGCTCCACCAGACTCACAGAAGAGTAGGGTGCCATGGTCAGGGACTGGCTGTGTCGGGGCATGGTCCTCACTCGCCTGGGGAAAAGAGTCACATTGCTAAAAGCTGCGGGGAAGGGGAGATTAATCTTTCAAGCCAGATTTAAGACTCCCCAAAGAAACACACGTTGTCTGTCTTTGTAAACAAATGGGCTTAAAGGAAAAGCTTCTACCCAAAAGTTTTCTTTGAGAGCTAGGCAGGATTTTAAGGTGATTATGCTCATGGAATTAAGTAGACTGTTTGCAGGCTCTGTGGCCTCCAAGAAGCAGGAGGCTGGCAGAATGGGCACACCATGGCTCCCCGCTATCATCTGTGATAGCTGTGATAGCCAGACCAAGCTGGCCCCAGAGGTGTGTTGACCTACTGCCTCCCCTTCCCTTCCCCTAAAGAAGTGATCATGAATTCCAGTGCCTCTAGGAGCCGGGCAGTCCCAGAAATGAGGAAGAGACATCATACAAGACACGACCAGAAGGGCTGGGGACTCTGGAGATCTAGAATGTCCCCTGGGGTGACATGGTTTTTGTTCCACCCATGAAAAGACCATCTGAAAATGAGGTCCTTTTTTAAAATGTATTTGTTTTGGGGGCTATCAAAATGGTACTTCAGGATGAGTCAAGAAAATCAGATGTGGCTGTGAGATCACCCTGCTCTTTAAATGATGGCCCATTTAGAAAGGACTCCTGATATGCAGGCTGTGCAATGCATTTCTGTGAAGCAGGATTCCCCCCCAGGCATCCTTCTGATTTCAAAGGGCTAATGGGAACATCTGCCTCAAGCTCCACAGTGATTTTACTGTTGGTAGGAAGTTCAAGTCTACTGCAGAGCCACAGTGAAATCTCTGCCTTTGGGTTCATGTAGCAGTCCACAGGAGCCATGATGCTATAATGTTTTTCTTGCCCTTAAACAAAAAGACCCTTTACAATGTAATGGCCACAGGCTTCCTCTTTCATGACCCTCACGCCCTCTAGCAACCCTCCTGGGACGGTGGAAAAAAAAAACTGTACCTTAGATGCATATTTTCCAGATAGTATACCCTTCCTGGGTGACAAGAGAAGGAAATACAGTGTCCTGCTGGGCCATTTTCTTTTTAATGATTCACATCTGTTGGGAAAAAATAAGTGCTAAATTACTGAACAGTTTATACCTAGGAAGTAAAGGACCTCAAACTCTGATCATTTAAGGCACCAGGAGGCTCCTAAGTTGTATAGCTACACCAATTAGCTGTAGTTGTAAGTGATTTTGACTTTACACATGAAACAAACAGTCAGGGCTTCCCATGAAGGGTAATGAGCCTTGAGAACCAAAACACTTCTAATCCCTACCAGACACAGCAAAAAGGACCAGAAGTTTCCTCATTCCCCACCATGAGCTTGAAAACTACTATTCAAAAAAAAAAAGAAGAAGAAGAAGAAGAAGAAGAAGAAGAAGAAGAAGAAGAAGAAGAAGAAGAAGAAGAAGAAGAAGAAAGGAAGAAAACTACTTTTCCAGAAGCTAGACCCTCAACTCCCCTCCTGAAATACTGGAGCTAGAGCCCAGTTCTTCGCACATGCTAGATAATTGCTCTGCCACCCCCAGTTCCCAAAGCAATCTCCTTAACAGGCTTATTCAATCTTGTACTTCTCTATAAACATTTTCAATAAGTCACCTTAGTAAATCTGATCCCGGTAAGCAATTAAGAACGTGTATTTCTAAATGAATCGAAAATATAAATAATGCATGTTTAATGGAAGCTAATTTGGGGGAACCTATCTGTCCACTAAGCGAATGGCTTGGATACACTTACTTTAAAAAATTGGTTATAAAAGATATTCATACCTAATCTTACCTATGCACACTATTTGACTGTTACAACTGATCAGAAAACTGGAGTTTTTCAAAGGTTTTAGAACTCAGGTTTCTCAAGCCCTTGGTTAATTGGCTCAAAACAATGAGTGCTGGTACCAAGAGCTGATTCTGTAATTAGCCCCATTCTGACGCTGGATTGAAAAAGCATTTCTGATTGACACCATTGTTTTGGCATCAATTCTCTGATGTTTTATTTTTAGACTTTCAAAATGTGAACATTTCACTTTCCCAAAGAACTTCAAATTTTAAACAAATTACATGTAAGGGGGGGAGTAACTTAATGTCAAACAGGCTATGATGTTCAACGAGGTCTGGGTGTAAAAGAGAAGAATCTACCATTTAGGCAAACTAGAATCAAGCCCATGGGGAAACTTTGGAATCATAGAACATTTACACTTTGAAGGTTATATGTAACACTTTTATGGGATTTTTCATTAACGAAACAGTCCAAGCTTAAAACTCATTTAGTATCTACTGGAGCATGCTTACAAATCTGACATGCCCAGTCAGAACTGCCAGCAATGAAGATATTATCTTAAATTGTAGAGGTTTTGTTTGTTTGTTTGTTGTTTTGCTTTATTTTCCTGAGACTGAATTTCAGTCCCATTCAGTACAAACTGATGGCCAAATGTAGCTTTGGCCATTCCCTTCATGAACTGCAGAAATCCACACCAGATGAACTTTGTGAGAGAGGAAAGGATGGGTATCTCTTGACTACTAGACAGGCTCTTTCTAGGCCTCATCACTTCCATTATCTGGCACTGACTCCATGACATTAACTTCCCCATGGCATAAGTTTACAAAACACATTAACATAGGCTGGGGGTTGGTGACCTTCCATGGGTGCTACAAGAATCTGTTCATCTGTTTAGTCACCTGATTGTTATCACCAGGATTCTTTGCCACAGTAGTGAGAGGGATCTCAGTTTCAGCTTAATTAGAGGCTGATAATAAATCACTAGATTAAGTCCCTTCCCAGGTGGCATTTCCAGATCTTCCCATAGTCAACTCCAATGCACCTGCCTGAAGTTAGCATCTCCCTTTAGTTTATGAATCTGACCTCTGACAAGCGGGTCTACAGTGTAATCAGAAAGGGCAGGGTCATGGGCTATTCTGATTGTCTTAAGTCCCTGAGGTTTTCTTTTGCGGGGGTGTTATTTTGAGATGGCATTTTACCCAGGTTGGAAGCAAACTGCCTTAACCGCTGAGATATGTCACCAACCCTCTTAACTTCAGATTTTAAAGATCCTGCAAATTTTCCATTCTTGCTACCACTGCCCACACGCCAGGCCCGCTTGTTCTCTAGCTTCCTATAGTGGATCAGAAGTTTGGAGACCGGCCAGGCATTGGTGGTGCATGCCTTTAATCCCAGCATTTGGGAGGCAGAGGCAGGAGGATCTGTGTGAGTTCAAGACTAGCCTGGTCTACAAGAGCTAGTTCCAGGACAGCCTCCAAAGCCACAGAGAAACCCTGTCTTGAAACAAACAAACAGAAGAAAAAGGAAGAGGAGGAGGTGGAGGAGGAGAAGGAGAAGGAGAAGGAGAAGGAGAAGGAGAAGGAGAAGGAGAAGGAGAAGGAGAAGGAGAAGGAGAAGGAGAAGGAGAAGGAGAAGGAGAAGGAGAAGGAGAAGAAGAAGAAGAAGAAGAAGAAGAAGAAGAAGAAGAAGAAGAAGAAGAAGAAGAAGAAGAAGAAGAAGAAGAAGAAGAAGAAGAAGAAGAAGAAGAAGAAGAAGAAGAACTAGGAGTAGTTTGGAGACCAGGTGAGCCATGAAGAAGAAGAATTAGGAGGAGTAGTAGTAGTAGTTTGGAGACCAGGTGAGCCATTTCTGGAAGAAAAAAAAACCTATCCCAGCATATTCAAGGATGGAGGTGGACCCAGGAAAACTAGTGAACATTAGGACCATATATGGTCAGTGAGGCATGCATGTCCTCACACCAAAACATGCAGCTTTGTATCTCCCTGGCCAATGACATTTATTTACCACTCCTTGACACTATCTGCATCCTACATTGCTCCCAGAAACTCAGAACCCCCCCACTACCCTGGAAAGGGCAGGACAAAGGCTTGACCACTTGGAGTGTTGTGACAGTAATCGTGTTTGCCATAGGCTCTCTCTATTTAGTTCAGGCTGGTCAGTAATTTGCTATAAAACCCAGGGTGGCCTCAAAATCTCAACCCTCCTGCATCGACTGAGTGCTGAGTGCTCTCTCTTGCCCTGTTCTATAGCAAATTTTAAAAACAGCAGAAAGAAATCTGCCAAAATGTAACCAATAGCAATAAGCATATTTTATTCTGTTCTCATTTTCAAAATACTTAATAAGCTGTTATTTTCACAATTACAGAAATCCGAACAAATACTTCTTGAATAAAACAACAAACCAAAGAGCAGTAGCAAATGTTGAAACTGCTCACTTTGGGCTGTAAAAACTGAGAAGCAAGTCTCGTTCTGGGTTCAAAAGATGTTATGGTTCAATTAGAACAAAGATGCTGTTGGCTTTACCTTCTCATTCCCCTGCAGGCATGTTATGAGACCCGAGCCTGGTGACTCTGTCACAGTCACAAGTGTGACTGTGGCCTGGATTGGCTGCTCTTGGGGACTTAGGCGTATGGCACAGACATGGCAGCTCTAAGGTGTCACCCAAAGCCTTTCAAAAGCCCCCATTCCCGGGGTTGAGTGGTAAGCTTACAGGGTCCCAGCAGGTATTTCTAGTGAAATGGACTTGAATCCGCTTGCCAAGGTGTGTTTTCTTTCCCTCAACTCTGTTACATCCATGTTGGGAACACCACGGAGCCAGACAGGTAAGGGGTAATTTCTATTTGATTCATAACATTGTGATTCCGGTGACCGGGGATGTAGCTCAGTTGGTAGGATGCTTGCCAAGCATGCAGAAGCTCTGGGTCTCACACTCCCACTGCCCCCCAACCCCGCACAGCATAAACCCAGTGTGGTAGTATACATTTATGATCCCAGCACCCAGAAGGTGGAAGAAAGAGAATCAGGAGTTCAAGGCCATCCTTGACTACACAGTGAGTTCAAAACCAGCCTAAGGTACCCAGGACCCTATCTCAAATAAAGAGGTGAGGGGGAGGCCTGTAGAGAAGGCTCAGAAGTTAAGAACATTTGTTGCTCTTGTAGAAGTCCTGAGCTCAGTTCCCAGCACCTACATAATAATGCAAAACTATCATCCATAACTCTGGTTCCAGGGAACCCAACACTTTCTTTTGACTGACTAGATCATGAACATAATGCACATTCCATACACACATGCAAGCCAAACATCGTACACATAAAATAAAATTTTAAATCTGAAATAAATAAGTTTTAAGGGGTTCTAGGATGCTGAGCACATTTCCTGGCCTTCCAGCCAACACAGTGAGTTGCTGGATTCACAAACAACCCCAGAGAGCAAGGAACAGTTTGGTGGCACTGCCTTGACCCACACACCAGGGTTCAGGATGATGCCAGTGCTGTGAGGAGAATCCCTGCAAAAACAGATTGGCTTTGTTCTCGTCTATTAGTAACAGCTATTTTGAAATGCTATTTAAGTCTCTATTGTTCATTTGAACTGTCTGCGGATGATGTGGGGGGGGGGCTTTAGGGCAGCACCTCACCCTATAGGAACCTGTGCCTCGAAGGAAGCCAGGCATCTTGCCTCTTCAAAGATGCTCATAGATACAGATGCATCAGCCTTTCCTTTCTCTCATGGGGAGAAGCCTGTCTTTTTTAATTATTGAGGGGCTTGTGGTGGTTTACATAAGAATGCCCCCATAGGCTCATTTATTTGCACGCTTAGTCACCAGGGAGCGGCACTATTTGAGAAGAATTGGGAGGTGTGGCCTTATTGTGGGCTTTGAGGTTTGGGTTGCTTTTTAATGACTTTTTTATTTTTATTTTTATGAGCATTTGTGTTTTGCTTGCATGTATATCTGGGTGAGAATGTCAGATCCCCAGGAACTGGAGTTAGAGATAGTTGTGGGCTGTCATGTGGGTACTGGGAATTGAACCCAAGTCCTCCGGAAGAGCAGCCAATGTTAGCCTCTGAGCCATCTCTCCAGCCCCAGGTTTTGAGGTTTTAAAGTCCCAGTTTCTCTCTCTCTCTCCCTCTCCCCCCTCCCTCTCCTCCTCCCCTCCCCCCTCTCCCTCTCCCTCTCCATCTCCATCTCCGCCTACAGATCAGGATGTATCTCTTAGGTACTTCTCCAGAAACATGTTTTCTGCCATAATGATAATGGATTAAGCCCCTGAAACTGTAAAC